CCAAAATAGGCAGCACTATAATTTCTACAAATCAGCAAATCAGACCCCTTGTATCAGTCATGCATGGTTCAGTTGCAGAGAACTGAGCTAATTTAAGCAAATATGGAGTTATTGTGCAGTGTGCAGAATCATTAGGATGATTTTAACGATAGAACTGGGTACTGCAGAGCCCATTTGACTAAGAGAAAGCTTCCCATCACCCGGACAACTGTGACTCCAAAGTCAGGAACCCAGTAGGTACTGGAAAGCCAGGCCACACCTGTGCCCTTAGTACTAGAAAAATGGATGCTTTGCACCCGACTTTCAATGCTATCAAATAGCAGTGCTCTGGCACCTTGGCAAATGATGCTGAAGAAAACCCAACAGCCTCTGCAAACGCCTTGGTTCCCACTTCTGGAACCCACACATTTGATATTCCAGACTCAGTCTGCTTCCTGTCTCCAAAGTAAAGAAAGGCAAACCAGGAGGAGACAGGAGTGGACCATGCCAGCAGGTTGCCATATCCACCTACCCCAGCTACTTAGTTCCATACTAGGGAAAATGCTTGAACTTTTCTTTGACAGCACTCTAAAAAGATCCAGAATGTGCCCCAAACCTATTGACCTGCTATGAAACTCTCTTCTATAAATTTTTGTTTTGATAATATTACATTTCAATCATTACTTGTGCTTAGAAAACAAATTTCATAAACGTTTCACTTACTCTCTAGATCAACACGACTTTCCATTTGTCTAAAATGTGTTTCTATTTTAACTATGCGAGGGGTATCACGTTCACACTGAAATAATCTGAGTCTCACAGTCTTTGCTCATCACCCTTCTTGGCTTCCCACTTGATAGATGGAGGTCTCCTCAATCCTTTGCTCTCACCTCCTACCTACTCTTACGCGCAGGAGAAAAAATTCTGGCAACTCTGTCCCCTCTGTTCCTTAAATTCACACATCTCCTCACCCCCAGGAATGGTCACCGTCACTGTTACCACGTTGGAATAAAAGAACAACCACATAGGTCCTCAACAACTCTCATGTGTGGAAAAAAAAGTCTCCCCAATTAGTCTAAAATCTTCTCAAGCCATTTCAAATCATTCTTGCTTGCTGAGTCTGAGGGTTCAAAAGACAATTTGTTACAGAAACAGCAACCTGCCCGGCTGGCAAGCTGGTAAGGGTCACAGGTGCAAAAATTAACTCAAAACAGATCGTGGACTTAAATGCACGATACATACTAGTAGATATAAAACTTATAGAAAAAATGAGACATGATTGAGGACCTTGACCTTCGTGAAGAGTTCTTCGACATGTCACCAAAACCACAATCCGTAAAAGAAAAAACTGATCAATGGAGCTCATCCATAAAAGACCCGCTGAAGAGGAAGGAAAGACAAGTCAACCATTCAGAACATGGTCAACACAGGCATCTGGCCGCAGCGAGGAGGTGCTGCTGCTCTTCTCGGTTTCACATGAGTTTTACTTTCAAATTCCTGAGCGCACACAGACGGGTGGGAATGTCTCCCGGCTGCCCTTTCCCCACGGCTGCCTACGGTCACATTCCGGACAGGCCTTTATAAGAAAGACAGCGACGATTAAAAGGCAGCGGAGGGCCCCGTCACTGAGACCCAGACCTCATGTCAGCGGGGCAGTTTTTCATGGAAATTATTTCTAAAACCAAATGCGACTACAAAGCGGTTTTTGCTTTCTTTTGCAGACTTCCTTTCTCCTCTTCTCCATTTTCACTGAAGAGAGAGGGGAGGAGAAATGGTGAAAATGCCACCGAGAAGAATTTCGGTTGGGCTCGGATGGTGGAGGGGGCAGGGAACCCAGCACCCTGCAGAAGTAGAGGTTTACAGGTGTCGATCACTGGGAACCTGCTCAGGTTGTAAATCGGGGCTGCTGAGCACCGTGCTTTCCTTACTTCCTCTTGGTAAACCTCTAAGAATGACAAGCTTGCCCTCAGCATCAGAAAGGACCTGTGTCCTGCCTGCAGTCCCTCGGCGCCTGTCCCCAAAGCGGAGCTCACATCCTGCCTGCAGGACGCATCTGAGGGAGAATATGAAAACAGACCCCAGCGACGGCTGAGGTCTCTGTCCCTTCTCTCCTCCACGTCTGCTCACAGCCTCTGTGAAAGGCACCTCACCTCCCTCGCTCCTCCCATCCCCTAAATACACTCAAGTAACAGAAAGAGGGAATCAGCCAAGTGGAAAATGATTAAGCAGGCAGGTTTATCTCTGGGCACAGGCTGCTGAAGTGGGGGGAAGTTTCATTCCCCCCCGGGGAGCGGGAGTGAATTGAGGATCTGCCTCGCCCGGGCTCTGCCTTCAAGGTGCCCGGGTCTCCCCCTGCGCTGCCTGAGCGACACACTGCGCATGTGCAGAAGAGCAGCCTAGGACCTGGGCTTGACTGGCCTCCTCCCGGGCTCTGTGGCTTTGAGGCTACGGCAATGGGATGCGGTGTCCCGGGGTGACCCAAGGGGCAGCCACTGGAGTGAGGAAAGCGAGGCACTCTCCACCAGTGCAAAACTTAAGGAGGCCCCAAAGAGTAATCAAGATCAATTATAACTTAATGTGATATCTTAAATATCAAAATTCTTGCAAAAATCCATGATGAACAAACTATGAACATTTTAAATAAAGACAGAGTCAACAGGGCTTTGGGGGAGATCGTAAAATTCTGTGCATTAAGGTAAAATGACAATGTACAGGTTCGAAAAGATACCCAGGTGTCCAAATGGCACCAACGGTGGGTTTCTGGAGGTCCCGGCTCAGTACCCGGTCTGCAGCCTCTGGGACCTGGAGTACCAAGGGCTGGGAGACACCTGCTGCTCCTGCCCTTCCCAGCAGCCCGTGTCTGAGTGTTAAAGAAAGCCAGGCACCCGGGGTTTTCCTGAACATAAAGCTGAACGAGGCCCTGGCAGGGAGACTCTGTTTAGACTCTCTCTGACTCACTTTCCTGTTTATTTCCCATCCAGGCCCAACTGAATTACCCCACAAGGCCAGGTGCGGCTGGGAGGACATTCCCAAACAGGCCACCAAGAGGGGACCAGGGCAGTGCCCACTCCACTGGCCAGTTCATTTTCTGGAACCACAGTTCCCCTTGCTTGGGCAAACTTCTCATTCCTCTCTTCTCACCGCGTTCCTTTGTGTCTATCCAGGAGCTGTAAACATCGCAGGCCTAAAGCCCCTCCTAGAGCTGGAGGAACAAACATCTCGGATGCATTTTTAATCAGCTGTGACTCTGCCCCAGCAGGAACTTTACAGCCAGGTGGGCTCAGAGTAAATCTCGGCATTTTGCAGAAGGGCAGGAGGAAACACCAGCCGCCCGCAGCGAGGCTGCCCGAGGCTGCCCTGGCTCCTGCAGCCCCTCCGCGTCCTGAAGCCAGTATCTACCCACCTGCGCTGCCAATGCGCTTGGCTGCGAGACAAAGGGTCCATTATCCAACAGGCTCAATGTTCCCCAGGTACGGGGAAGGCACGGAGGCATTTATTCTTATCTTCATTTTATTTTGCAAAGCACAGGCTGTCTGTACCGAGAACTGAACCTCACTCATATCCTGCAGAGCACAAAGGAGAAATTCCGCTCCTCAGCTGGTTCCTGGTGCTCTTGCCTCCAGCTCAAAGGGTTTAAGAGAGCAGGATGCTCCATAATCCAGCTGGAAAGGCCCCGCCTGGTACCAGGGTGGAAGCCTGTGTCATCCTGACACTGCCCTGGCCCACTATGCTCCTTGGGCGTTATCTCACCCCTTCAGGTCCCTCGCTTTCATTTGTAAATGAGGTGGTAGGAAGCCTGGGCTACTGCTTCTGCCATTTAATCAACTATGTAACCCCCAAAATTAAAAAGCAGATTTTCTGTGTGTGTGTTTTTTTCTCTTATTTGTGAAACAAGGAACCTGGATTATAAGCTAAAATGAAGTATACAAATTTAATGTTAAAATTAATAATGCAAATAATAATAGGGGTTTTTTTGGTTTTGCTTTGTTTTGGTCTTTTTTGGACAGCTAGGACAATGTCTGAACCCAGTCTGCTCTCATCATCTGCAGGTGAGGAACAAATTCAGGGTACTTCCTCATGTCTTTCTTCTCTTTTCTTCTTCATGCAAAGCATTTGGTAGGTTTTACATAGAATTTAGCTGTCTCATGCTAAATTCTAGGGGCCAAACCCTGAACTTTTTCTAGTTAACCCAGTTCCTGTTCCCTCTTTCCCCTGATCCCCATCTGTCTGCAAACACAGGTACCGAGTGGAAAACTTGAAATGGCAAGTTAAGCGTATGAAACACCAGCACAACTGGCAAAGAGGTCTAAGTTCTCATACCTATACATTTTGTTAAAGGGCCAGAAAAAAAACACAGCAGAACAAGATAGGAAGTGAAATGTCCAATATGAAAAAGCGAACAATCAGTGGTAAGGCAGAAAGAGAGAATCCTCCTGTTTTTCTTACAAACTCATTGAAGGAAAAGCTTTGCCAAACATGTGCCAAGCCCCTCCATCCTTCCGTGTGGCAGTGGGATGAACAGCCGTGAGTTTACAGCTGTCACTAACAGTCATGGGCGTTTTGACCACATTGCACCTCTTTTTCCTGGAGCCATTCACACCCTCCTCTGGACTGCCAGACAGTCGCCTGGTGCTGGTGCAAACCCAGCTCCCAGGACTCAGATCTCAACTCTCCAGGCTTCTGAGACGGGGAAGGAGGTTCCTGAGAAACACCACTCATTCTGCAGTCTGTCCCCCACTCTTCCCTGTATCAGGGACACAGGCAAGGACTGCTAGCATGTTGGCTCGAGTGGCTAACCAGCCAGGTCTAAATGTGCCCATTCCCACAGACATCTTAGACTTCTGCTTCCCCAGCAGGCAAATCTTCACGCGCGGTGTTCAATCAGTGAAGTTTCTCAGGATTCGTGTTTTTACAAATCGAGATCAAATTAACGTTCCATTGCAGGAGTATGTGTTCAGAAGTATAAAAACAAGACACACGCAGTAATAAAGAGACATCAGAAACTGCTTTCTGAGGCTCACCCAGAGATCTTTCTTTCGTCTGGTTGGTCGATCTCACCACCGGAAGGCTCGCTCGAGTTCGGCTGCCTCTGGAGAAAGGACTTGGGGCTTCGCTCTCAGACATGGCTTCCAGAGAGTCACCAGAAGTCTCAGATAAATGCTCCACTGGGTCGCCCAAGCTGGGAGGCTGAGGACTGTGAGACAGTTTGGGGCTTCTTGTCTACAAAAGGCATTTGAAAGAAAGTGGGAGAATAAACCATTATTAGTTATATTAAAAATATGTTCAATGCTATCAAGGCCTTCAATCTACAAAAAACAACATAGCAAGAGGAAGAAGTCCATCAGAAAGACTGGATAGGACTAGAGACCCAGAGGGTCAAAGTCCCAGTTGTAAAAGTTACTGAGAAAAATATATTGCCCCTCAGGATCCCATTAAGATTTTTATCAGTGAACACCCACCTTACAAATTCCATTTTGGACAAGGAGTTGAGGACAAGCCACGTTATAGGAAAGAATGACAGCATATCAACTCCTTTTGCCAGTTGTTATCATAATACATGAATTGTGTGCATTTATACACTGCCACATGTCCTATAATAACATTTTGGTCAATGATGGACTGCATACATGACAGCGTAGTGTGTAGGAGACTACACTATCTAGGTTTGTGTAAGTGCACTCTATGATACTCACACAAGGACAAAATTGCCTAATGACACACTTCTCAGAACATATCCCTGTCATTAAGAGGGACATGACTGCATACGTAAATGGATGATGCATTTACCCCAGAGTACACTGAACACAAAAACCAGTCCTTATATCAAGACCATTTCCAAAATCAATAACCTACCATTGTGAGAGGGAGATTGATATCACAGTTGAATTTTTCTTTTGAGACACAAATCCTAGAAATAAGATTATGTCTGGTTTTGGTTATTACCTCACCAATCGGCAGAAGTATGTATAATAAAATACATACGAAATACATAATTGGTTTTCTTTCTTAGTTATCTATACTATCATGGCAGAAGTTGGATGTGTAAAATGCTTAAAGCTTTTAGTCAATAACATTCCTTGACTATTACTACTGGTTGAGCACTGTGGAAGATGCAGAAAAACAGAAATGTGGCCTGATGTCAGAGTTTTCAAAACTAATTGGTGAAATTAGTGAAGGACAACAGATAACTCAAGAGATTATATAATTAAGTGTAAACTGTGAACTGGGTGGAACATCCACTCATACTTTCAACAGACACCTATTGAGCACCCACCATGTTCCAGGAGCTATGCCAGGCCCGGGGACAGAATGATGCACAGAACAGACATGCCTCCACCCTCATGGTGCTCACAGACTAGTCAGGTGACAGGCATTAACACACATTAAAGGTGCAATGAGAGTGTATAATTCCAACTGCTAGTGGTGTTGGGGTGGGGAATGTATATGGGCAGAGGGTTGGAAAAGCATGTAAACTGTGATCTCAACAAAGAGGAAGTTGGGAGAATGGGGGAAACCACGGGGGAGGGATGAAAAGCAGAAAAGCCATTCCAGGTGAAGGGAATGGTATGTGCAAAATGCCTGAGGCAGAAAGAAGTGGCAGCGCTGGAAGCTTGGTGTGGCTGAAGTCCGGCGGAGACCAGAACACACACAGCCTGGAATGTGGGTGAGAATTCTCAATTGGACTCTAAGGTACCAGAACATCATGTAGGTAGTTTAGGCAGGGAAAGGGGGCAGGGAGCCAGGATAGATACTCTTTTTAGAAGATCACTCTGCTGTTGTGTAGAGGCTGCAGATTATACATGTAGAAAATCAGAGGAAGGAGGCAGTGAAATGGGATTAGGCTGAATAAATGTGTTACCTCGGCTTTCCCTCCCACCGCCTGCCCCTGACTTGCATTACATGACTCCAGGCACTTTCCAGGAGGCAAACCGATCTGTGTTAATCAAGAACATGAGCTTTCACTTCAGCAGATGCCAAAGGTACTGATGTGCTGGTGCTGGGATCTAGGCATTATATATATTCGGTCAGGGTCCCTGTAGGCATTTTTTTGTTTGTTTCTTTGCATTCCTTCAAGTTTTCCTGAGGATGTCAATGCATTTTGAAGTGAGGCACCGAGGCACTTAACTCTCAAGGCAGGACCAGCTTGTGGATGTACAGGCTGAGCGATCACACAGGGCCCCGTCCTTGAAAGGGTTTTGTGATTGGTTTGATGCTCTACTTTGGCTGTCCTGAAGCTCATAAATGTCAACAAGGCACTGACAATTACTTAGCTGGAGCTGCCTCAAAGCTCCGGCGACAGAGCTCTCTCAGGGATGCCCAGATGTGCCAATACTCAGGAGAACCCTTTGAGGGTCGATGATCCCATCTCTCTTCCTAAAAGTACAAGGACACCCCTCTTGGCAGGAGTGCTATTGCGTTATGTAGATGCCTGCATCTGGCCGCACCTCTCAGGACCTTTCCGTGGGGGAAACAGGAGTGAGGTCAGCACACAACACCCGCACCCCTTAAATGCGGGACGTGGCCAACCTGGATGTTCCATAGAAAACTCTCAGCTCAGATGCCATGCCAAGAAGAGGGCCAGAAAGGACACCTATTAACAGTCAAATGGTGTCTTTGGGTTAATTTTTTTGTGCAAGCCTCCGAGGTGGTTTATTGCCAGATTTATTTTTTATAAAGTTTGCTTCTGCTCTGGAGAGTAAGATCTGGCTGTGGCACTAGTATCATTTGATAGGAAAAGCCAACCATACATCACTGTGCAGCTCACCAAAATGTGCATAAATTCATATGGTCTTCCATGAAGTATGCTGGGCAATGAACCTGGTTACTATGCTCAGCAGAATATCAAGCTCAGATGTCCTCATCCCTGACTTAAAAAAAAAAGATATTCAGTTTAGCAAAATAGCTAAGGAATAATATGACTTGATGCAGCGTGGCTTCATGTACAACCTCTGCATTTGGTCACCCTCGCAGCCTATGGGAGACATTCACGAGTTGTCATTTTCCATGGCAAGAGGCAATAATCCTTGAAGAACATCAGAATTAAATTTCATTTCTTGTTCAGGGTCCTCATGGTGGTAGTATGTATAAAAATAAAGATGTAAGGGCTAAATCGTTATTTTTAACTTCCTGTACACAGCCACTCGGTTCCAAATATAAACTCCTTCTCTCGTTCTATGTCATTCACTTTCTCACTGCGAACTATCTTGCATATTAGCAATCTCCTCACACAGTACCTCCCCTCTGAAGCCAGCTCACTGTGGAGACATCACTTAGTGCAGAGAAAGGAAAACGGAAATTGCTGACATCAGTGTCAAATACCCTGTGATTTTTGAAAAGTCAGAAAGCATTTGGAACAGGGACGCACTACTCAGCACAGGGTGAGGCTTCAAGGGTTAGAAGTGTTGCACATGGCTCTTGAGCTCATAATGCATTTAAGGGATAGTTTGGGGCCAAGGACAATATACACGTAACAGCTGGACAAGAAGAACTAAGAGGTGTGCCACTGTAAGGGCAGAAGGGGTTTGGGGGAAAAACTGCTGACATTAAAGGGTAGGTTGGGTGAGGAGGAAGACCATGGGGGAGGAAGTGCTAAGGGGTGCTCAGAGTGAGGTCGCCGGCTTGCCTTCTCACACCTTCACGCACTCAAGGGGCCCACAAGAGGAGAAGGTGGGGAGGCTAAGCTTTCCCCACCAGGCACTCTCTGAGGAATGGGAGCCGGTATCTTCCTCTGTCTCTCAACTAAGCTAACAGGTACACATCATCCAACAGCAGCTGAGTCCCAAGATGTCTTTTCCACAGGCAATCTTGTGGCGGGGTTATGCCTCCCACAGTCTTTCCAGTAATACTGAATACATAAAAAAAGTTCCACTTTTGTTGTTGACAGCCATTTTTTAAAGGGTTCCCGCCCCTAAACCATGCTCCCCTCTCTAAGGACTACTTCCCTGCCCACATGAACAAGCCCCTAAAGCCCAATGTTTCGTACATAGAGTAAACATATTGCAGCTTCCCCACACAATTCTGCTTTGCACCTGTTGCTCTAATGTACTTATTACTAGTAACCCCCTTTCACTCTCAGACATATGATGGTTTGAACAACAAAGTATATGCACACCACTCCCAGCCCCATCTCAGCTTCCAGGACCAAGTCATGGTCACCTGATCTTGCCTAAACTAATCATTTTCTCTCCCCTGGAATGCAGACCTGGGACAGAGAAGCTATTAGTCAGTGTCTATTAAAAACTTGAAGGGTGAGATCCTATGAAGCTGCGGCTGAAATGGGCAGGGAACATGAAACAGAAAAAGAAAAATATAAGGAAAGGATGAAGCAGATCTGTATAGGGAGATGGAAAGGAGACGCCCTTGGCCCCAGTTGAAAAGACTGAAAGATTTTTTAAAAAAAGGAGCTATCTGGGCCCCCCAGGAGTTGCAGTTCCTGACTCCAGTACACAGGGAGGCTCTTCCATTTGTTGTGCTTAAACTAGTTTTTAAAAAGAGCAATGTATGTTTTTTTAAATTTATTTTTATTGTATTACAAATGCCCCCCATTTCCTCCCCTGCACCTGGCTCCCTTCCCCCCCTCTCCCCTGCCCCCAGGCCTTCGCTGCAGTATTGTTTGTGTCCATGGGTTATGCATATATGCATACAAGTTCTTCAGTTAGCCTCTTCCTGCCCCCCCTCTTCCCTCTGAGATCTGTCAGTCTGTTCCATGCTTCCATGTCTCTGGATCTATTTTGTTCATCAGTTTATTTTGTTCATTAGATTCCACATATAAGTGAGATTGTGTGATATTTGTCTTTCTCTGATTGGCTTAGTTTGCTTAGCATAATGCTCTCCAGTTCCATCCATGCTGTCTTGAAGGGTAAGAGATCTTCTTTTTTTTTTTCTACAGCTGCATAGTATTCCACAGTGTAAATGTACCACAGCTTTTTTATCCACTCATCTACTGATGGGCACTTGGTCTATTTCCAGATCTTAGCTATTTTAAATAATACTGCTGTGAACATAGGGGTGAGTATATTCTTTCTGATTGGTGTTTTGGGATTCTTAGGATATATTCTCAGAAATGGAATTGCTGGGTCAAATGGCAATTCCCTTTGTAAGTTTTTGAGGAAACTTCATACTGTTTTCAATAGTAGCTGCACCAGTCTGCATTTCCACCAGCAATGTACTAGGGTTCCCTTTTCTCCACATCTTCTCCAGCATTTGTTGTTTGTTGATTT